ACCAATCTTAACCAAATAAATAAATAAATGTATACACATAAATGTGTATATATATATATATATAACCTCAATCTAATAATGAGAAAACACCAGGCAAACCGAAATTGAAGAACATTATACAAAATACTGCTTAGTAGTCTTCAAAAAATCAAAGTAAGAAAGACAAGAAAAGTGAGGACCTGATATAGATTGAAGAGACTGTGACTGGGGAGGGACTTCCTGGTGGTTCAGTGGTTAAGACGCAGCCTTCAAATGCAGGGGGGTGCATGTTCAATCTCTGGTTGAGAAACAGGACCCCACAAGTAGCAGGGTGCAGTCAAAAATTAAAAGTAAATAAGTAAACAAACACAATGTTATAAGTAAATTATACTTCAATTTTAAAAAGAGACTATGGAGATGTAACTAGATGCAATATGTAATCCTTAATTGGATCCTGAACCAGGAAAAAGACATTAAGGGAAAAAGTCAAATAAGATCTATAGATAATAGTTTTATATCAGTGTTAGTTTCTTGGTTACAATTAATTTACTGTAAGTGTTAACATTAGGGAAAAGTGAGTGAAACTTGTATAGGGATCCTACTATTTTGCAATTCTTGTATTACTAAAGTTATTTTAAATAAAAGGTTTTAAAAAAGAATAGGTCATGCAGTTTTCACTGGATTGGTCTTTCATAGAGAAACACTCCAGAGCCCTGCTAAAGTGAAGAATTCCAAATAATTTTCTAACCATCTTAATAGCTAATGTTTAAAATCAGTAATTTTTTCCCTTCATTTGGCGTAACCTAACTCTGGGTTTCTTTCTTAATTAATCTGAAAGTAGCAATTCTGTTCATTTGACTAAGGAAACTGCCCTAACCCGTATCTTATCTTTAGCTAAGTGGTTGTTAAAACCAAAGAATGCATCAGTGAGGCTTTAAACAGAGTTGGGATTCTACATGCTCTTCTGATTCTCCAGCCTGCCTTTACAAAGTGCAAGCTGTTAAACCAAAATCGTTTACTGGGTTCCTATAAATCTAATGTGCAGCTTTAGAGGGGTTCTGCAGTGCTTTGAAAATGAAAAGTCAAGGATCAGACATAGCATATAAAATACACAAAGGATTCAGCTTATAAATGGACTTAATCCATTAGCCACTTTTTTCAAGACCCAAGCAAGTTTTTCTTGAGTTAACACAATACAAAATAGCAGAATGAGGGTATGAAAAAAGTCTCCAGATGTGGACCTAGATACTTGGGGTCAAGTTCTTCTTTTTAATTGAAGTATGTTTAACTTACAGTAGACTTCCCTGCCAGCTCAGACTATAAAGAATCTACCTGCAATGCAAGAGACCTGAGTTGGATCCCTGGGTCAGGAAGATCCCCTGGAGAAGGAAATGGCAACCCACTCCAGTATTCTTGCCTGGAGAATCCCATGAAGGGAGGAGGTTGGCAGGTGACAGCCCATAGGGTCGCAAAGAGTCAGACACGACTGAGTAACTTAACTTTTGATTTTCAATATTGTATTAGTTTTCAGTGTACAACATACTGATTCAATATTTTTATGCATTATACTCCATATAAAGTTATTATAAAATACTGGCTATATTCCCTGTGCTGGCCATCTTTGCAACCTATTTTTTAAAAACTTTATTTTCTATTGGAATATAGTCAATTAACAAAGTTACAATAGTTTCAGGTAAACAGCAAAGGAATTCAGCCATACATATACATGTGTTCATTGTCCCCAAAACTCCTCTCCCATCCCAGCTGCCACATAACATTGAGCAGAGTTTCATGTGTTATAGAGTAGGTCCTTGCTGATTGTCCATTTTAAATATAGCAGTGTGTATATGACTGTCCCAAACCCTAACTATCCTTTTGCCCCATTCTTAACCCCTGGCAATGTAAGTTGGTCCTCTAAGTCTGTGAACCCATTTCTGTTCTGTAAGTAAGTTCATTTGTATCATTTGTTTTTAGGTTCCACGTATAATAGATGTCATATGATATTTCCCCTTCTGTCTGACTTCATTCAGTATGACAATCTGGAGGTCCACCCATGCAACTTATTTTATAAATAAGTAGTAGTAGTTTGAATGTCTTATTATCCATATATATAGTATTTAATATTATATATTGTACATATGTAATTATATACTATATTATATCAATATACAATATATATGTGTGTATGTAATACATATTTCAATCACTTGCCTCCTGTTTAAGTCTACCTTCCTTCAGCACCATCCAGTTTACAGCTGGAAGGACTTGACATGAAGAACGTGTGTTCTGTTTCTTTGCTAACTCCAGGTCCTCACCTCTGTGTGACTCAGGTTCACAGAGTGAGTGGTTCATAGCACCCTCGCAGTTAGCTTAGATGGAGATGGAAGTTTCTCTTCAAAATAAGTGCAGTGCTCCCAAGGGCTCGTGACTTTCTTCTTCTGTATAGTGAGGATGCGCTAGATTATGGTTCAGTAACAAACACCCCAAGATAACCCAGGAGCACCTCCTTCTTCTCCTCTGTTGGGTCTAGCCCCTCTGCTGGGTCTAGGCTGTAGGACGGAGAGAAAGGGACAAGAGTCTTGACGGCCCACAGCTTCTGACCTTTTCTGTAGGTTGTTGCTGCTTCTCTGGCTAGCCCTTTCTGACTGATGACGCTCCACTTGTGGTCTCAGTCGAGCTTCCCTTGAGGGCCCTGAAGGGTGTCCCCCCAGACCCCTCTCCCCAGAAAGCTCCCTGAAGTGGAGCACTGGCTTCACATTAGCCACTGCCAACTTCAGATGGACAGCAAAGCACATTCCTAGCACGTATGTAAAAGGTGGGGAGAACAGCACTGAATTGCTGTTTACACACAGAAGATACCCAAATTAATGGTTCAGAACACCAGCCATCTCTTCAGTGGATGACTCTGTGGGTCGACAGTTTGATGAGGATTGAGCTGGGCAGTTCCTCTGTTCTCATCTGGATCCTTGATTCCCTGCAAGGAGCAGGGTGGCTCTGCTTCTGCGTCACTCGAGTGATGGGGGTGGTTTCTGGACCCTGTGCTCCCATCGTCCTTCAGGCTGCGTCATGTTTGTGCATACGGCAGCTGGGCCGGTTTCCGAGGTAGAAGACAAGTGTGCAGGACATCTTGAAGTCTGGTCTTGGAAATGGCTTTGAAGTTGCTTCTGCCACCTGCTGTTGGTCAAACACCCGCAAACCAACAGGATTCAAGGAGCTCCAGCTTGGATGGGCAGATCTTGAGGTCACCTTGCAAAGGAGCGTGGGAAGGGTAAAGTAGAGAATTGTGGCATCCACCCCAAGCACTAAACCCGCCACATCTTCCTGATCTCCTGCAGGGAAGGCTGGGGCTTGATGCGGAGGTGGCTGGACTCGGCAAGTTCGATGAGGTCATCTGTGTGTCCAGTAGGGCTGTCTAATAAATGGAGGCCTTTATTAGAACAGTGTGATCAGCATTTTCGTCTACAGCTTTGGGGCTTAGACATTAATTCCAGGCAGCAGGCATGGATATTCAATTATGAGGGAAAAACTGCCTTTCAGGTGAAGTGACCTATGACAGGTCATGCAGCTGCCTGCCAAGTGGTTCATTTCTTTTGTCTGGGCAGAGGGGACACTGCACTAAGAGCTGATGATTTAAAAGCATAATAAGAAGGGAGGAGAGGGTGAGACATATGGAGAGAGTAACATGGAAACTTACGTTACCGTATGTAAAACAGATAGCCAACAGGAATTTGCTGTATGTCTCAGGAAACTCCAACAGGGGCTCTGTATCAGCCTAGAGGGGTGGGATGGGGCGGGAGGTGGGAGGGAGGTTCAAAAGGTATGAATACCTATGGCTGATTCATGTTGAGGTTTGACAGGAAACAACAAAATTCTATAAAGCGATTATCCTTCAATTAAAAAGTAAATTAATTTTAAAAAAACAAGCAATCAAAATAAAATGAGGTAGAAGGGTAAAAAAAAAAGCATAATAAGTAACCTAGACTTTTAAAAGGTCACTGTGGCTGGGCTGGCAAGAGCAAGGTGGATGGCAATCTAAGCTGTCACTGGGACCCAGAATCTACCAGTCCTTTAAGCCCGTGGCAAGGAGCTTTTCTTTAAATTTATAGAGAACAGGTGCTTCCCTGGCAGTGCAGTGGTTTAAGACTGCGCTTTCAATGCAGGGGACATGAGTTCGATCCCTGGTCAGGAAGCTAAGACCCCACATGCCTCATGGCCAAAAGAATAAAATAAATTTAATTTATAAAGGACAAAGGGAACTTTGTGAAGGGTTTTGAACAACAGGCTCACGTGGTCACATCTGCCTTTCCAAAATATCCTCTCAGCTCCCATGGGAAGACTAGATTGGAGAGGCAGGCTGGACCAAACCACGTTAGGATTCCTCCAGCCCGTGTGGTGCTTCTTCATAGGTCCCAAAGGCAGAGGCGAGATGGCCTAGTTTTGCCAGGATCAAAACCCAGAGGCTGGGCAGGGGCAGAGCGGAGAAGGTCGGGTGGATAATTCCACACGGTGTTCCCCTCAAACACACACACACACTTATCCACGTGCTTTGGAGCCCAGAAGGCTTGGGAGGCTCCGGTTTGTGTTCTGTGATGCTTTAGCCACTTTAATTCCCGGTTGGTGGCCTCCTCTGCTTTGCTGTGTGAACAGACAGATGGTGGCCAAGGGGCCCCAGCAGAGAAAGGCCGGCACAGACCCCAGCATGATGGACCCGGCCTGTGATCCCAGGAGTTCATACACTGTATGTTTCCAGTGATTCCAATTCGAAAGGCAAACAGTGTCCAAAACCATGAGCCATTTTGAAGCACGTGGGTGGGTGCCCAGGGCGGCAGGGAGGAGGAGGAGGGGTGGAGTGGGGACTGCTGACATCAGCCACCCCCGCAGGGACCCCTGTGCGCCTCCACAGGGGCTGAGGGTGTCGGGAACGGCGCAGCCCACGGAGCAGGCCTCACCCCCACCCCCCCAACACTCACAGCAGGAGTCTGCATGGTTGATCGTAAGTCTGTTCTGTCGTTGCATTGCAGCTCCAGAAACTAAAACGATCACTTTCTTTCAAGACCAAGAGTTTACGGAGCAAAAGTGCTGACAACTTCTTCCAGCGAACCAACAGCGACGTGAAGCTGCAGGCGGACGTGCTAGCGGAGGTCAGCCCCAGCTCCAGCCCGCTCCCTGCCCCCGGAAGCCTGACCTCCACACCCACCAGGGCCGGCCTGTACCCTGGCGGCGGCGGAAAGGCCCACGCCTTTCAGGAGCACATCTTCAAGAAGCCCACTTTCTGTGACGTCTGCAACCACATGATCGTGGGTAAGCCCTGCCCCTGTCCCCATGCTGCCGGTCCCCGCATCTCTGGAAAGCCAGCTGAGAGGGGTGCACCTGAGTCCAGGTCTCTGTGGACAGACTCTGAGACTGTCTGGTAGCGGGGAGGATTGTTTGGGATCGTCTGGAGGAACACCGGGCTTCCCAGATGGCATTAGTGGTAAAGAACCCACATGCCGGTGCAGGAGACATAAGAAATGCAGGTTCAGTCCCTGGGTTGGGAAGATGCCCTGGCGAAGGAAATGGCAACCCACTCCAGTATTCTTGCCTGGAGAATCCCCTGGACAGAGCAGCCTGGCAGGCTACAGTCCATAGAGTCACAAGGAATCAGACATGACTGAGCACCTTAGCATGCATGCACTCATGAGAGAACACTATGTGTCAAAGGTAAGGGAAGCAGGGCTGGGCAGAGGAGAAGCTGGGTGATGGTGCGGATGTGACGGAGCCTTCAGCTGCTCCCTGGAGTGCTCCCCAGCCCTGTTCAGTCATCTCGCTTTGAGGCCAGAGATCCGGGACTTTGTACCCTGCATCACCTCTCACCGGATATCGGCAGCCCCCAGGTAGAGGGCCACACCTTGGACAAAGCAGCTCTTTTTAGCCAAGGGCAGTTAGCCAAGAGAGATTCTGTGGGAGGCAGCCAAGATACTGGGCTGTAAGGGGATCTGAGCGCTGCATTGCAGGGTCCATTCGTGTTTGCATGGCCGTGTCTGCCTGAGGTCACCTGGGCAGGGGGTCTGTGGCATGGTGAGTTACAGGTGAATGAGCGAGGCAGGCAGGTGTGGAAGGTAGGAGATGTCAGGGAGGCACTGACCCAGAACAGAGAATTCAGTGGTAATGGTGATCACCAACTCTGAACCCCGGGAAGGACTCACTGCTGGTACCACAAAGAAATGGTAGTGGCCTGAGTGTCTTAGGGCTTGTGCCCAGAAGAAGAAAGTGACCTATAAAATGTCCCAACCGGAAGGAAAACATAGCCATTTGGAATCACACGCACAGGGGCTCCACACTTGACACCCCCTGCCTCGTGGCAGAAACCCAGTAACCAAACAGATAGAGGAAATCATAAAAGGAAAGGGACTTTGGGTGGGACCCAGAGTGAATTGAAACCAGTTATTTCAAGACAGCAGCATGTCCTAAGTGATTGACTGGTCCACTACAGAACAAGGGAGGAGGGGGAAGGAGATGCCCATATTGCTCTCAAGAGGGCGGTTAGGATGCACCCACCCACCCTAGGAGAAGTTGAAGGGCAGAAACCCAGAATTAAGAGAGGAAATGAGGCTGAAAATCAAAAAGATGCAAAGCTGACTGAGCTGGGAGCTTGTCCTGCAGAGACGGAGCCAAGCGAAGCCTCGAGCTCCTTTACCATGGCTGAGAGGGATGCAGGTGTGGGAGACAGCCCTTCCCCACCTGGGGTCCCAGGGCTAGGCCCACACCGTGCCTTCTGCTCACTTATGGCCTGGATGCTGTGGCACTGGGCTGGCCAAGGCTTGAGACAAGAATACTTTAAGATCAACAGCCTGATTCCCGAGCTGGGAGCCAGGGCCCCATGTGACCCTGACATGTTTCGCCTTCCAGCTCCTCAGCTCTGACACCCACCTCTCCCAGCCCCCAGTTTCCCCTTAAGTGCCCAGAGTCTCTTCTGAGCATGACAGTTGTTTTAGGCCCGATTCCCCAGAAGCAGAGCTGAGACAGGGACTCACATGCCCGTGATCTATTGAGAGGACGAGAAGGGGAAATGGAAACCGATGGGCAAGGGAGGGACTAAACTAGGACGTGGTCTTAGGTGGATCTTGCAGGAGCGCTGGAGCATGAGTTTCAGCAGTTGGTCCTTCCTCAAGGCCAGCCTTTGGTATCAGTGGGCTTCCCTTCTCCTCCCATGGTGGAGGTCATTTCAAACCCCTGAGCAAAGTGGTTCGTGCTCTGCTGAAGGCAGTTCTCTCGAGAAAAGGGACAGCTGTGAGTTCTGACCAGCCAGCAGGGATACCCCTGGTGTATTAGTGGGGTTTTGCTACTAAAACAAGTCACTGCAAACTTGGTAATTTAAAACAATAGTTTTATCATCTGGAGATCTGGAGGCCACAGTGAGTCTCATGGGACTGAAATCAAGGCGTGCAAAGAGCTGCAGTCCTTTCTGGGGGCTGTAGGGAAGAATCCGTGTTCTTGTCTTTTCCAGCTTCTAGCGGCTACGTGCACCTGGGCTTGTGGCCCCTCGTCATCTTCAGTGCAGTGAGGCAGGGCCATGGCAGGTCACACCACCATCTCTTTGGTCCTGACTCTCCCCTTTCCCAAGGACCCTTGTGATTATACTGGACCTACCTGAATAAACCAGCATGACCTTCCCATCTCAGAGTCACCTGATTAGCAGCCTTACTTCCACTTGCACCCTTGAGTTCCCCTTGCCACGTAACGTAATCATCCAACCTCTGGGCATTAGGTCATGGACATCTTTGTGAGGCCATTGTTCTGCCTGTTCACGCCCAAGAAAGAGTATCTGGGCAGGACATCAGCAGTGCCCACCACAGCAATGGAAGAAAGCCTGAGCTAAAGATCAAAGGACTGACCTCTGTTGATTCCTTTCCATCCTGGCTCTGATACCAGTCATGTGAGTTCAATCCTTGGATCAGGAAGATCCCCTGGAGGAGGGCATGACAACACACTCCAGCATTCCTGTCTGGAGAATCCCATGGACAGAGGAGCCTGGCGGGCTACAGTCCGTAGGGTTGCAAAGAGTCAGTCACCACTGAAGCAACTTAGCACAACCATGTTTTTTGTGCACCCTAAAGATTGTCTATGATTCTGCATTTCCTATTTTGTGAGGGATGTGAACAAGTGAGCAGGCATCTAGAAGACAGTGATCAGAGTGGTGGGTGCATGCCAGGATAAGATTGTGAGGAAACTCTGGGAGTTTGATTTGGAAAAGACTTTGGGTGTGCAACAGTATTTTAAAATCCTGTATTGGAAAAGTCAAGAGACTCCCTCTCTGGCTTTAGAGGGAAGAGTTGGGAACCAGGGATAAAATTAAAAGGCAAATAAATTTCAGGGAGAAGATAACCAAGTAACTGATGTAACTGACTGGTAACTGAAGGGTTTACCTTCTGAGTAGCAAGTAGTTTTAACTTCTCCCAGGTGTAGATTGTCTTGAAGTAGGCCCCCTACTTAACTGTCTGATATTCTTTGAAATGAGATTTGGAATGTTTGCTGCTTCCCAGAGAGTTCAGTGTCTGTCATCGGCTATGGACATATCAGTGGTTTCCAACATGGCCAGGACCAAGGTTGAGTGGTGCCCTTCACCAGACCCAGTTAAGGGGGAGGGGTGATTCAAACTTGGGAGCAACGTCAGCCCCTCTTGCAACCATGCACACCCTCAGAAAACCCTTACATAACCACACTCTCATTTTCTAGTCACTTTTATTATTCATGTTCTTCCTTCCAACAAGCCACAGTTAGCAACAGTGCTTTGCGTCAGTCAAGGATTTCCGGAAAAAGTGTCACAACTGCTTTAAGATTCCAGCTTCCTTTTACTATTACTTAGCATCTTCATGCATTGGAGAAGGAAATGGCAACCCACTCCAGTGTTCTTGCCTGGAGAATCCCAGGGACGGGGGAGCCTGGTGGGCTGCCGTCTACGGGGGTCGCGCAGAGTCGGACACGACTGAAGCGACTCAGCGGCAGCAGCAGCATCTTCAGATCTGCTGGGGTTCGGCTGATCCAGACTCAGCTCAGTCATTGCATCTTCTGTCTCTTCCTTGTCTCTCCCCCTGTCCTTGGATGCATGGGTCTGGTCAAGCCATGTCCTTCTGATGGCAAAGACAAGTGGGACTGTACAAAGCTCCCTGGGACCTTGGGTTGGAGGTCGTGCCCTTTCACTTCTGGGGACATGCCACCAGAATGTGGGTCAAACCCTTGTCTATGAATGGAGAACACACTCTGCCCCTAGCGGCAGGGGCAGCAGAGCCACCGGGCAGAGGACAGGGTGAAAAATGTTAATAATCCAGCCCATCACCAGGCTTAGGGTGGCTCTGCATCACGGAGCCTTGCTCGTCTGGGAGACACTGCTGAGTCTTGGAGCTGAACCACCTTCCATGTCCCTTCTGCATCTGCAAGTGATGCCTGGCTCCTGACTATTTCCATGGCAGGGGTTTGGATGGAGGGTCGGGGAGGCGGGGCAGGTTGTTCGTCAACTCTCATGCTCAGAACTCTGAGGAAGTTTGGTCTCCAAATTGGTTTTCGTGTCTGCCTTCCCCGCTTTGGAATCCGACGCTTCACTTTCAGTTTCCACACAGATTTCCACCAGGCCTTTTCAAGGCAGTGCTATTCATAACCTTTAAATAGGTGATCATGAGTCTCTATTTTCCATCTCGTTGTGACGAGTGTGAAAAGACAAACAGCCCATGTCTTTTTAAAACAAGTAACGGAAATGAATTCATCTCTGAGGAATGTAACATTCCTTAACCCTAAGGAGGATTCCAGGTACACCTCAAGTACAGCGACAGTTTGGAAAGGTTCTGTTTTAAAAAATCAACCCCCCCCAAAATGCTTTGTGTTAAAGAGAATCTCACGCTCCTTTTCTTTTCTGGAATTAAATGTATAGTGTAACTGCCTTTCTATCTTAAGAAAGAGATTAAAAACAATCAACAAAGCACACTGTTCTTTTCAAAGATGAAAACCACGTGAAGCAAATAGAGGCTCCTTCTCTGAATGGAGAAAAGGGATTAGAGAGGCGATGTGAGGTCAAAGAGGACGGGTGAGGAGAGATGGCTCGGGAAGGAGGCAAGGAGAGGCGAGGGTTTAGGTGAAGCGGAGGCTGGTGGGCGTCATCCTTCCCGAAACACTGCACAGGACTCGTGATCTGTGAGAGAGCACAGCTGACTGACCTTCCCCTTTTCATTTCTTTTCATTTTTGTCCGTTTATTAATTTTTATTTTTGGCTGCACTGGATCTTCGTGGTGGTACATGGGTTTCTCATTGCAGTGGCTTCTCTTGTTGCA